TATTTTATTGAATATGACAGTATATCTGCACAAGGCTATTTCCAAATAATCTTCAACATGTAATTATACAATAAGGGAGGTTTCTGCAATCCCACTATCAGTTTCAGCCTTGGTGTACAAAAATGAAACATCATTAGTATATTAATCAGGTTTTAAACAGAAAGACAGGATACAGGCAAGGGGATTTTGTCATTTTGCGCCAGAATCTAACCTAGAACAGCTAGTCCTTTCTCTGAACTAGTGAAGTCAAAAGGAGTCAAGAAAAAAATAAAAACCTAAATCTGTGGATCACGTCAAGTTTCTAAAGACTGATGTTCTGATATTCTTTGGCACCTGAGAATTAGATTGGAACCCCTGGAGCCACTGTACATGCTTTGTTGTCTTCCCTTGTCATTGTTAAATATGATGCTAAGGCTTCTGTATAATAAAAAAACACTTAACATTTGAGTCATGGTCTGAAAAACTTACTACTTTTACTACTACTACTCTGTGCAACTTGGAAGGGACTGGACTTCTCCCCTAACCCTGTGCTACGCATATGTACATATAATTTTTGCTGTGGAGAGAATTAATTGTTTATTTAGCTGCATAAGCTATTTGTAAATTCACACGTCGGCTTGCTTTACTCTCATGATTGTGCAATGTCAAAAAGCACAACAAAATAGAATGTCTTATCTATAACCTACAGCTGCCAATGGAACATAGCAAATTTTTTGCTACTTTTTCATGTGCACGGTGGTTAAGTCCATAATTAATGAAAGAATGAAAAATCTCCAAATGATTCTGCAAAAAACTTAAAATGGTTTTGTAGCTTTTGTGTATAATGAATTTTAATTATACAAGTTATTGCTTATTCTCTAATTGTGAAGACTGGAATTAACTGTGTTAGCAAAAGGTTCCCATTCAAAAGTGTACTAAGATAAGATAATGTAAAATGTAAAGTGGAGTCTCAACAAACTAATCAATAACTTTAAACAAATAAAAACAAATCTTTTTTTAAATCCTTAAGTATGTCATATGCAACCACAAAAATCTTTATAAGACTTTCTGTAACACTCTGAGATTATAACTCACTTGATGAATTTTCCGGTCCAGTGTTAACGAAAAATGCATCAAATTGTACATATTTTCTGACCAAGAGTACATCTAAATTAAACCAAGATAAATTTAAAAGTGAGGTATGTGCAAGTGAACGTAAATTATGTATTTTTTTCCTGTAATTATGCCATATTCGTGTTGTCCCAGAAGCCAGAGCTCAGAGCTGTGGATGCTGTCACATTTGAGTTGAGAGCATTCTCATTGCAAGTCAGAAAACATTTAGATTTGGTGTTTGTTTGCCAACTACTCTCAGGAATTCAAGCTAATAAGATTGTGGAACACTGGAACAAAAGGAAAATGTTCATAAGTCGATATTTTACAACACTATGTGTACCACTGGTTTAATAAGACAGAAATTATGCTTAGTTTATAGTTTATGCCAGCAATGTTCACTACTTTTTATGTGTACACAAATATTCTAGATACTGAACTTGGGAAGCTAATTCTGACTTCAGAGGACATTCTTGTTTTTAGACTGAGAACCCTAAAAATCTGACTTCAGAGTACAAAGACAACTTAGCTTTATTCTAGCTCAGATTTTTAAGGCCTTTGTCATATAATCAATATACTCTAACTACTTTTGTGCATAAAAAAATAAATTAATGTAGACATTTAAATTAGGCATTCTTAAGTGAAGAAAGTCCTGAAAACAATTGGTTTCTGGTGGCACAACAAAGTGTTATGGTGGCACAGATTTTTTTGTGGAATATTGTGATGGTGACAAAGGATGGGGGAGATAAGGACAGATCAAAACATTTTCAGGAAGGCTGCACTTTTTCTTTTGTCACAACTCCAGCTGTATGGAAAGATAGTATAATTTATAAACAACCATGTATAGTGATAAAGCCAAACCCATAGAATGGGGAGGAAAGACTGATTTCTTTTGTTTATGGTAACAGCAGGTAATCTTGGGTAGGATGTAATAGTTGTTTGTGTATAATGTTTTTTTAGGATCTTACTTCTTAAAAACCTTCATGTTCTGATAGACACATTTCCTGCTAGCTGATCATGTGATTTTATTCATAAACAAATTGTAGTCATTTCTAAAGAAGAAAAATGAAAAAATAAGTAAAAGAATATACATATTCATTATCTATGGAAATTGTTATCTATCTATCTATCTATCTATCTATCTATCTATCTATCTATCTATCTATCTATCTATCTATCTATCTATCTATCTATCTATCTATCTATCTATACATACATATACTGTATATATATCTATATAGATATATATAGATATATATAGACATTAGACACTTTTTACGCGTTACACAGATATTCCGAGTACAGAACAGTGGTGAGAACAGGAAGTTATATTTCAAACGAATTGCCTCTTTATGCATCAAAAGTTTCATCTCTCTGTAGTTTGACTCAACACATCATCCTGATTGACACATTGACACCACTACCACAGGGATCATGCAAAATGCTGTTATGCAAATACTCAAAACAGTAAACTGTCACAAGAGAAACAAGACATCCTGGTTCAAATTAGGCTAACCAGAACTCTCTGGTGACAGATGGTTTTGCCTAAAGGATGGCATTTGTTACCTGCATTTTTCTGCCTTTTTTAAATCACATACTGGATGATATCTTCACACTACTAATGTATCTCTGTTTATGATTACATACAGTACATACGGTATGTTTGCTCTCATGTACACACAATCAGATAAAACATTCACAACTGATGCAATTCATTCCTCCTCCTTCTTCCTCTGCCTTCCTCCCATCTGACCCTTAAATAATGAAAACAAGATGTTTCTATTCTCTTAACACAGAGGGTAGCAGCAGTGTAACTTCAGACATGAGTCACTCTCTTTTCGTTGCCCTCATAACATTCTTAAATATTGAAAAAAAAAAATTGATGAAGAGAAAGTGGGCACACACATAAACATTTTATTCTCTCTGAAAGAAGTAGGGGAAGTGGCATCTGAGTTTGTGGACCTCTGATGGACCAAGATGGCCTGTTGAATAAAACATGAAAAAAGGAGTTTCTGTGCCTGCAGGCAGGTGTGTGTGTGTGTACATACTGTAAGCATCTAAGTTTGGAGTTTCCACCGGTAGAGGTGAATATTACTACCAGACCCCGCACCTGACCTTAATTTTTCAATTTGTAAACCAATCTTCTTACAATTGGGCACCAAATTTGAGCATAAACACACAAGATATTCATCTTGTTTACATCAAAGGCCCTAAATATCAGTATGCCTGCCTTGCTTTGCCTTCCCTACTTAAGCCCCCATCAGCAGCATCCCACCCAGGCAAAATTCTGCCTCAGTAACTGCTACTGCTTCTTTTCCTGCCAGACATTAGTCCTAATCAAGGTCAATTCCTCTCTTTTTTAACTTTATTTAGATTGAAGCCAGTTATTGCTTGTCTCTCTGTAGCAAGGGTGTAATGACGATAAATAGCACACATTTGAGGATGTGGCTAACGTCCCAGACACAATAGTCTGTACATGCCAAATCCAGAGTGGTATGTTTTAGATGACTGGGTCTTCTGTTTGAGTCTGCCTGTCTTTGACAAAAAAAGTGCAGTTTACAAAGATGTGTGTGCAATTAAATACCAAACAAAGTTTAACATAATTATAAAGCTCCTATTTGCTTAGCAACCTTATTGGCTCTTAATTATAAGAATGAATGAAAATAGCTGCTTAAACATCCACGGAAAATATCTCGCCCTTTACATTCTTCTTAAATTGTGCAGAACAAAGAGCACTGTTTCTTTCACATAATTCACTTTACCAGAGGTTCCCTCAAGAGAACCACTACCACCATGTGAGAACACTCTGTGCCTTATGGAGAAAGCCTGCGTTAGTAATTAAAGCCAAAATCCCTGAGTGACAGGCGTGTGTAGCTGAAACCGCAGTCGCACTTAACACTGCTGGCCAAAGATGTTGAGTAAAGAGGAAATACTGCATTCTCCTTCCGTGTGTGATTACCATAAGGTTTTATTTATGGTAGCTTGAGCCTTTGCTTTTTGTTGAAAAAAAAACAGCTTGCTAAAAAAATGCTTTTCCAAATCTATCATTCAAATCCTTTGCTGGTAAATTATTAATTAAACTTAAATTATTTAATCATCCAAAAAATGTAATTCTTAAAAATGAAGAAATTTAACCACCACTACCAGAAAGTGTAGACATATCACATGCATTAACAAAACACCACTGCAGTAGAAATGGTGCAAAATAAAAAGCATTTAACTTCTAAAAATACCCACTACACACAATTACAGAAACAAATATTTTTTTTGCTTCCAATAATGCATGCATATGTATTATAATATGTAGGCTAAATCATGAAGACCTTGGGACAAGCCAAACAGGTCAGGCATAAAGTTATGGAGACGTTTAAAGTCGTTACATTGTAAAACATCCCAGGCTTTTAACATCTCACAGGGAACTGTTCAGTTCATCATTAGAAAATGGAAAGAGTGTGTCACAACTGCAAACCAACTAGGACATGTCTGTCCACCTAAATACGCAGACCTGGTAAGGAGAGTAGTAATAAGCGCCGCCACCAAGAGGCCAATGGTAATTTTGGAGGAGATGTAGAGTTACACAGCTCAGTTGGAAATTCTGTCGACAGGAAAAACCATCAGTTGTGCACTCTAGAAAATCTGAGCTTTATTGAGGAGTGGCCTGAAGAAGTCAGGAGAAGTCCTCTTTGGAGTTTCCACAGGCTGTGTAGGGGACACAGCAAACATGGATGAAGTTGCACTGGTTTGATGAGACCAAAACTGAACTTTTTCTCTTACATCAAAAACAATTTGGGTGGCTGAAAACAATCCTTGGTCGCAAAATGGTCACAAAAAATTTGGTTCACCTTCTAGCAGGAAAACATATTGCCAAAGCTACAATGAAATGATTTAGATCAACAGTATTCATGTGTGGGGCCATGAGTGGCTCAGTTGGTAGAGCAGGTGCAGAGGCTATAGTACTTGACATGGTTGTCTTGGGTTCGATTCCCAATCTCAGGTAATTTGCTGCATGTTTGCCCTTTCCTTCTACACCCTCTTTTTTGCTTGTTTTTTTAATGGCCCGGTCAAAGTCTAGACCTAAATCCAGTCTACATCAAATGTGAACATGGGCCAAAAATTATTTTGCTAAATTTCAGTCACCAGAAGTATGAAGACTTGCAGCTGTAATTGTAATGAAAGGTAGCTCTACAGAGTATCTCTATATAAACATTAAGATTTTTCAAATCATGTGTAAAATTATATTTAATTCAAAATAACCGCAATCATAGCAGAATTATTGCTTGTTCCGTTTTTTTCTGTAATTAATGCAAATATGTATATGTGTGCATTCCTGTTTCTCTTTTGAAAGCCTTCAGACATCTAAGTGTAAATGTCCAGTGACTGACTCTAAACATTTTGGACTAACTGGTACTTAAGACCTTCCTTTGTTCAATTCCAGCTCCCTTAAATGTATTTAGTATCAGTTTACAGCCCTTCTGTGTTTTGGAAAATCATCTATCTCAATCAGCAGCCCATTAATCTTAGCAAGCACTCATCCACATAGCTACTTTAGCATTTAGGCTTGTGACTATAAAGCCACAGGGGTCCAGTGTAACTCAAGTCACTCGGATGAGCCTTGAGGATAAAGTAGACTCATGGAGCCTACTTTCAGAAACACAGAAGAGCCCATTTGCACAAGTCAGGTCAGTTAGCAAGGTTCTAAATACTAAAAGGTGAAATCTCCCTAAAATGTTTTTCTCTAAAACATGTTAATGCTTCAGAATATGAACATTTCGTGCTTAAGATTTTGATTGGTAAAGGCAGCAATAAGATTCAAAATGGGGGATTGTTGAGTGCAGTCACCTGGTGAAGTGATTAGAGTAAAAAATCGCAGCGTTATGTTCTTAAGAGCTCATCTACATGAACAGGACTTTGGTCCGGAAAAACGTTTTGTCTTTCCACACAACGAACTGTTTTAAGTAACAGAAAACTGACATCTTGAAGAAGTACCAGAATAATGGTTATTTAGAAACTCAATTTATAAGGACACAAAATTACATTAAATTTGTTTATTCACTATTTTTTTTTCTACTTTAGCTTTTTCTTCTTGTTTTGGTGTTAATAAAGAAATTTCAAGTTGTTATTTTGACAGCAAAGAAAAGCCCATTTTGGCAGTCGTAAGGAGTAATGAGCAGTATTAAAAAACAATGACATGTTATTAAAAAACAATGACATGAAAGAAGTTTAGAGTTGGATTTCACCAAGGGTAATGAAACAAGGTTTAAAAAGCTGTCTATTAGCTTACATTCAAGTATGTGATCATGTACAGCTCATCTTGTCACAAACACACTCTGGCACATTACCACATACACAGTCTGAGTGATAATCTAATCAAGACAGTTCTAAAGGTTCTTCCAAAATGATGCATTTCAAAAATTGTTTTCTTTGCAGGAGGTACTGCCTGTAATGTAGTCATAGGAAGGGAAATATTGCCAAGGTCTGGATCTGCTCTGAGGTCTCCTCCCAGTTTAAGGTGCTCTGAAAACCACTAAAGAATGGTGATCAGGAGGCGTCCTGATCAGATGCCCAAAGCACCTCAACTTACACTTTCAATGTGGATGTGCACTGACATCCGCTTTGGAGGATGGGGCCTCTCACCGGAATCAGTATGCACAGGTCCCTGCCTTCACCTGCCACCCACTTCACCTAAACCATGGACTCCTTTCAACACAGGTGGTCATCCCACATGGAAGTGGCATCCTGTTCACTTTTCGGGGTCAAAAAACAGTCACTCGCTGGCAAGCTAACCCCAGAGCCTAGCTCCAACAACTTAAAAAATACTTTTCTGGTTAGCCAGGGAATAGCAGCTTTTTTTAAGCCTGTAATGTGCAGCAACTGGTAGGAGAAGGGTAGCCTTGTGTTTATGCTTGATAGAGTTGAAGAAAACTCTCATGATTTCTCTGGCATCTCACTGAGATGATTTTAACAGAAAATTCTGGAGGTTTTGAAATACCTACACACCAGCAGCCAGCCCATGCCTGTATGTTTTATTTCACGATTAAACACAGGTACATTAGAAATAACTAATTGAAACCTTACTTTCTTTCTAACAATTGGGCACAGATGCACTCTCTTTTCACGTTTTGCAGGATTTGATGGGTTCATTTTACTGACTGGCCTAGCTTCAACTTTGCAAAAATAACCTCTTTAACTCTTTCAAAAGTTTGAAAAGTAGGTTATGCTAACAATAAAATTTAAGGTGGCTATATAACATGTAAGGTGCTGAATGATGCCTGGTGATGTTGGACTGTACACCAAAATGCTGAGATCTTTCAGAAAATTCCTGCTGTAGTATTTCATAAAAAAAAAAAAGTCTAGGGGATATTTAAAATACAGAACGGCAATCCAGAACAAATATGAATGGCGAACTTTAATGGCCCTCATACCAAAACTTGGCAGCAACTGGAGCTATGAGTTATGTTGTCTGCAGGCACCTAGTTCATTTAAGAGACGAGCAATAAATGGCTCAGGAGGGGGGGGTTGAGGGGGTTCTGCAGTCAAGTTTTAATAGGGTACACACTTATTCGTTTCTTTGTTTTCAGGTGCCTGAATGGAAATCGTAAATAATAACAAAATAGCCATTATTTTGTGGTTTCACATTGAGCATGAAACACCCCTTTCCCTAAAAAAAAACATGCAACATGTAACCAAATCCAGATTTTGGGTTAAAAGTTCATACACACCAAAAAGTTAAAGCTATGCTTTCTAGCTTTGACTTTCTAATTGACCAAGTGTTCTCCTAAGCAATTAAAACACACATTTTTAGCAGCTCCTCAGTAGTGACAAATTTTAAACTGCATTTGGCCTCTTCTCCTCTCATTGCCCCTAATCTCCCTGTTTCCTTTTTTTAAGGCAGTCCTCATGTTTATTCCAGTAGTGGCTGTCCTAACCTTGGGAAAGAGTCCATTTCCTCCTGGTTCCAAGTTCTCCCGCTGAGGGACAAAGTGTGTCCCTAAGTTCAAGCTGTACCCCAGGCAATGTGAACTTGCGAGTAAAACATGAGGTGGACCAGAGTTAGAGCCAGGCAATACTAACCATTGTGGGAGAAAATTGCAGGGTGACTGACCTCACAGGGATATAAGGAAGGCTTGAGAAAATACACAACAAACAAGAGGCAGATCACAATCGTCCTCAAGTCATGGTCCTGATAAAAATTGTCTGCATGACAGAGAAAGGGCACATCATGGGTCAATCGTTCAGCTTTAGAGGCCAGCGGCTGTTTTCTGTTTTCTGCTTTAGTTTGAAAGAAAAGACCATGGCATTGATAATGTTATCATGAAAATAGCTCATAGCTATAAGGTGCAAAATATCTTCTAATAATGTTTTTGTTTTAAAAAATACAAAGATCGTTCTGTGCTACTTAGCTAAATACGTAGTTTTGGATTTATGTGAACAGGATTAAGACAGGGTAAAGAATGACCAATCATCTGCCAAGAAATTAGGCAAAGCTTTCTCACCATCTACACTGTCATTGTGTCTAAGTGCGTCTGCTAAAAAGCTCAGATTTCTTGTGATATGATTGAAGGGTACAGTCAAGTCTAACAAAAACCCAAACAAAGAAATACTCAACTTTCCTATGACTTATCCTGATAATCCACTGACCAGTTGTGACTAACACAGGTTTCAAACATTCAGTTTAGTCTATTGCCTAATTTGCTGTTTCATTGTTTTTAAAATATCAGTAAACTGATCCACATACTAAACATGTTTATGATGAGACAAACAGAGCAATAGTATATCATGGTGGTAAATGAAATAAAGTCAGCTGATGATCCTTTAGTATAGCCCTGCATGGATTTGTGTTCACACAGAAAAACAAATATTTAACATGCATCCTAGGCCTTCTCTAAACGTGGCCTGACTGATTGGCTCTGAATGCTTCCTCTGTTGTTTGCGAGTGTGCTTATTTAGGTCCAGTTCACATTTACTAGCTTAAAAAAATAAGTTATATATTTGCTAAATTTTACTCCCATCCTCCTTCTCCTCTGAGTTGGTTCAGTCCAACTCATTTGTTTGGAAATACAAACCGCTTCATCTTGATGTGATCTGTCCAGTCAGACAGCCATCAGAGGAACAGTAAAATAATCTGAATTGGCCTTTTAAGTATTTTCCCACATTGCTCCCCTATTTCTTAACAGGGCAGACACCACCAAGCACTGCCCCCACAACGGAATCCCTGACCCCAATCCAAGATGGGATCAACTCACCCGGCAAGAGGTTCCTGGCCAGCGGCAAGAACCTGGGGCCGGCGTCCCCCACCACAACCCCTGTAACCACAAAAACACACCACATCACCGCCACTGCAACGATAGCTCAGGGAGAAACACTATCCAACTCAGCTCTACCATCGCCGCTCAGCACGCCAAAGACCGAGCACCCCGCCAACCCCATACCCAAACCCCGGAGGTGCCCCAGCATGCCGGCCACCCACACTCCCCCATGGTACACCCCGCTGCACCAAGCAAGCCGGCCGGCTAGCCCCTCCACCAAAGTGAAGCCATATGCCAAATAAACACCGCACACTGCCCGGCCAAGACACCCTCGCCGGAGCCCGGCACCCCCCCAACCGACGAACCAGGCACCGAAGCCAGGGACCGAGATCCAAGGAAATCCAGATGATCCCAAGAGAGCCAAAACTCCAGCACCAGGCAACCCCCAAGACCCGAACCCCACCCCAGTCCAGATCCCGACCAGAAGGCCAGCTCCCTCTCCCGGCCTCTGACCCCAGATGGCAAACAGTGAATGGGGGTGTAAAAAGACCCCAAGCCTACCTCCGCCCGCTCAAATGTGGTGTTGATGCGTTTTGTTGTATCGGCATTTAAAAAGAAAAACAGATGGGAAAGAGGGTCTGAAATTGGGGCACAGGCTGCCATGGGACCGCAGAGATGGAAAACCGTTGAGGTACTCCAATGATGCACCCGCACCCCAAGGCCCTACATGAGTGGTAGTGTGATGAGTGGG